GAAAGGGAATGGGAACAACCTAAACGGTCATGGAATAGTTACTGCTGTCACAGCCACTACACACCCCAGCCTTACAAAGTGCTGCAAATGGCTCTGTGCTCCAGTAAAAGATGCTCCTCGTGGCCCAAGTATCGTAACTGCAAAAACTGGCAAGTCAGAGGATTCAGGGGACAGGGAAGGAGATCAAGGCAGTACAAATCTCTGTTGTCATTTGGCTGGTATTTCAGTACCACTTAAGCCAAAACACTCTTCTGTGCGGTAGCTAAAAACCTTTGCTCTTTTCATCAACCAAAACACAGGAACTCAGATTCTCACTCAGTATCTGTTCTGACCCGCACTCGTACCCTTTTAGGTTACTGCTTCCGGTGGCATATTAAGGACACTGTCAAGAAGAGGAAATAAACTGATGGGATACCAATCCTGTGACGTGGAGTCATTATAGCTTTTAATTGCAAGGGGGCGGGTCATGACCAAAACTCCTAGCAGAGGGCTGCTGGAGCCAGTTTTGGGCCAGTCACAGCAGGAGATTCAAATTAATTCTCAAATCCCTCGCCCGGCACCCATTTTCCAGTTTTTCCCTGGATTCTTTGCAATTTTTATTTCCTAAAAAGCTATTGTCTTCTGTAATACTCCCACCTGTAAGTTAAATCCACAGTCTTTTCAAAAAAAGCGTTTTTGTGTTTGATTGCACAAACGTTATTCATAGAGAGACACTTTAGTGTCTGAAGCTCTTTGCCCTGTGTGTTTAACACGGACCTTCTCTGCCTGGTGCTGCCGTTGGCTCTGCAGTCCTTAGCAGGAGCATTGCAAATGTGCTGTTGCAAACTGCTATCCTGAATGGTCCACTCAGCCCTCTGCAAGACAGTATTTCTCCCACATCAGTCAGCTTTATTGGGCCTGGTGACTTTTGGCGTGTGATATTGCCGATGAAGTTGTGGCTGTGCTCGCCACAGCTGTCTGTGCCACTGCATCCACGTGTCTCAGCTCGGAGACCTTCCCAGCTGCCTTGCCAGAGCCAGCAGGGGCGGGCAGTGACACTGCTGGGGGCCCTAATGGCAGCCCGTGGGGAGGCAGGGGCATGTATCCCTGCTGAAAGCAATGCCCCCTCTTTAGGCAGGATCACGGGTGGATGGAAGGATGGGCTTTGGTGGGAAGTTTGAATTGCCGCGACTGGAATTGCCATGACCTAATCAACAAATAAAGGCAGAATTTTCTTCTCACACACTGTCAGTTCAAAAGGACTAGATTCAGTTTTAAAAGCTGATGAAGAAAAAGAGCGTTGAAAAATATTTTCAAATTTGCTCAGTTTTGTAAACTTACTTGCAAGAGGAAAATGAAACCAGTTACAGAGAACTCATTAGTTGCACTTCAGCTTTTGTAGACAGCATCATGCTTACACTTGATGGTACAATTTAATTCCAGTTTTGTTGCTCTATCTGACATTTTTCAGAATCTGCAGAGCTTAGATTTTTTTCTTTTTTAGTGGATGAGTAAAAGAGTTTGGAGTAGAAGACACCAGGTTAGCAGTGGACTTCTATGTTAGCTTCTATTTTTAGCCCATGTGGGCTAACTGCATTTGTTTTCTGAAAAGCAAAAGAATCTTCAGCGGGCTGCAAGAGCACAAAATATGGGTTTGAGCAATCTTGACTCTTTTGCTAAACAAAAGCAGAGATGCTCCTCTTCAGCATCCTGAAAAGTGGGGTCATGTCACGACTGGAAATCTTACCAGGCATGGGAGGCAAAGCATTAATGCCATGGGACAGGAGAGATTCAGCACTGAAAACGCTGGAGCGAGAGAAGCAGACGTGTCTTAGTGGTGGAAGAGGCTGAGGGCTGCTGCATCTCTGTGGTGGGAGTGAGAAAGCGACTCCCACCTTGGAGCCGGAGGGTGACTGCTAGTCCCGTCTCAGGAAGCAAAGGGGACAGTGCTCTTCTTTTCATGGGGCAAAGGGAACTTTCTGCATGTCAGTGCCCAGGAATAGTCACCTCTGTTGCCCAGAAGGCGTGCAGCCTGGCACATTAGCTGGAAAAAAGAAGAAGCCGTATAAAAAACGGGATACAGGATTGCAGTGTAACTGCCAAAAAGGATCCAAGAAGTGACTTTTCCTGTTGCAAAACGCACAGTGTAATCAGAGAGTCTGCAGCTGGCAGTTTCTGGAGGACACAGCCCATGGGCTACTTGTTCTAATCTTAGAATGGCATGTCCACAGCTTCCTGTGCGCCCGCGGCAAGCTGCACGCGCATGAGAGTCGCGCAGCAAGGCCTTGCCCCAGCCGAGCGAGAAATGCGTGGAACCATTCCAGCCTCAGAGCTTTGATCAAATCCCGAGAAAGGGAGCTGTGTTTTCAGCTGTAGCTCAAAAATAAATAAATAAATACATAAATTCCCAAGCCCAAAACAAGAGGTCAAAGACGCCAAGAGGAAGTGCTGTCATTTCTGGGGTAAGGCAGAGGGCTGTGAAATCAACTCTAAAGGAGGCTATAGGGGAGGCAACCATTCCTCCTCAGACACTGAGCACCTGCAGCTCCTCAGCCTGTGCTCTGTCCCCAGCTCAGACATCACTTCTGAAATTGCCTGGATATTCTGGGTTCTGGAATGCTACAGCCAAGCCTCCCAACAAATCCTTCCTTTCCCTGGATCCATCTTTGTTCCCTTATATTTCTGGCCCGCTCGTCCTTCACCACATGGAGCT